GCCTCAGTTCTGCTCACTTTAGCCTCTGATCTACTCATTTTAGCCTCTGTTGAGCTCATTCCAGCCTCTGTTGGGCTCTTTTTAGCTCGTGTTCCTCTCGTTTTAACTTGAACCACTCAGTTTCAGCTTCTTCAACACAGTTTAGCACACAGTCACAGCATTTTTGCAGAATCTGTACCATCTCTAGTTTAATTTGTGTTGCTAAAACAGTTTAATTTTACATTTGTGAAAGCGTTTTTAACAAACAGCACTTTCTTTCCAGCCTAAAACCCAACCCATTTGTGTGTAAGAGTTTTTGCAGGTAGTCACACAGGGTCTTATTGTTTCCTGACATTTCTGTCATAGCGACTTGTTGACCTCGCTGAGTGAAACGCTGATGTAAGGCTTGTGTTGGTGTCGTAGCTGAAAACCACGTCTGTGAAGCTTCTGCTCCTGCAGCGCTTCAGAGGATTAGAGTCGGAAATAAAAAACTCTTTCTGCAGGTTGACTTCACCAGGCACGTTTGTCTCCTCAACGCCTCACAGGTGTGACCAGAAGTGTAAAAATGTGCAACTGTTTCATGTTTTGAGGTAATATTTTATTTAGCTATCTTTAAAGATCTAATCTGCAGCACAGGAGAACCAGGAAACAGAAGAAGTTCACACAATCAGAAGGGAATTGGATCTTTATAGAATAAAACTCATCTTTTTTCCTTTAAATTACCATTAGATTTAAAATTGATGCTCGTGAGCCGTTTGACTGAGACAACAGAAGAGTCGAGGCAGCTTCATTTTCTGATTAAATTTTTAATTAAAATACGAATTTATCCACAGATTAAAAATGAAAGGCAGAAAAAGCAAAATGTAGCTACAATCAGGCACCAATGATACATGTTTCATAATCTTAACAATTGCGATAACGCAACAATAACATTATTTACTGATCATTATTTAATATTTACTTATTGAAGTGAAGACGGGGGGCGGGGCCGAAGGAGCCCACCAAAAACATTCATGGATTTTAGATCCCCCTTTCCCCACATGATGATACTCCTACTACCTCACGAGAACTGAAGTTGCTTTAAAAAATACTGCCAATGTTCACAGGAAGGAAACACGAATCAGGCGGCGTTTAACGTCAGACAAGCGTGTAACAGAAGTGGAAGTTTGGAGTGATTAACCTCTCGCACGAGGACTTCTCGTATCACCGTTAGCGCTTCGGTGCAAAGGAGATGAAAACAGCAGCAGGCTACGCTACGAGTAGCCACGAGACACAGACAGACGCACAAACATGGCATGAAGACGAGCGTAACGAGAGTTAAGACGTCCCACCCGCTGGTGGACATGGCTTGGCGAGACATTCCGGCACTTGTGAGGAGTTTTCTTGAAATAATCGTGTCTTAGGGAGGAGGCGGCTAAGGCAGGACGCAGCGTTCACGCCACCGAGTGCTGCTTGTATACCCGCACCACCAGGGTGGACACCGAGAAGTGTCCTCTGCACCCGCGGAGAAGAGACAGGAGGACCGGTTCAGGCGTCTGCAGAAGCCGAACCCGGCCAGGGAGGAAGTAAACATCTTTGGAGTGCGTTTGTTGCGATCGAGTGAGTGTAGCCGCGGTGAAACCCCGAATCTGGAACGGTTGGGACGTTGTGCGAACCCAGATTTAATTCCTAATGGGACATCAAATGTTAAAACTAAGAAACTATAATTTTTAATGGGAAAAAGGATCAACAACACGTCTAAAACGAGGTGGTAGAAGGCCTCCTCTTCTTTTAACAACAGTCTGTAAAGGTCCAGGACCTGAGGAGACCAGTTTTTGGAGAATGCTGTCCCTTTCAGGTCGGACCATGTATTCAACGGTCCGCGTCTTATTGTTTTTGCTGGATGGGAGCATACATTGTTTTAAAACCTGTGTATATTTTTTGTCATTGACGGTGTCTTGATGTCTAATCTGCTCATGTTAGAGGCACCAATGTACCCCTATACCATCAGAGAGCCAGGTTTTGAATTGTGCGCCAATCACAGGCTGGATGGTCCCTGTCCTTTTTCATACAGAGGATGTGGCGCTCAAGTTTTCCAAAAATATTTTTCAATTTGGACTGATCTGACCTGAGAACAGATCTCCTCTGGACTGATCTGACCTGAGAACAGTTCTCCTCTCGGCCCCGGTCCATTTTCAGAGTTTTGGTCCAGAGAGGACGGCAGCGGTTCTGGGTGGTGGCGTCTTCTTCATCTGGTGGAGGTTTCAGTAGTAAGTGTGGATGACACAAGGAACTGTGTTCACGGACAATGGTTTGTGGAGGTCTTCCTGAGCCCAGAACAGAACCAGACCTGTTTTTAATGCGGTGGCCCCTGAGGGCCCGATGATCACGAACAACTAAAATGGACTTCAAGCCACGCCCTTTCAGCTCAAAGATTTCTACAGATCCTTGGCATGGGATTTTCAATCCTGCCAAATTTCCATTGAACATTTTTCTGAAACTGTGAAAGTGACACTGGTGAACCTCTGCCCGTCTTTACTTCTAAAATGCTCCTTTTAAAATCCCGTCTTCTAGTTATTGTTACGAAATGTTCCTCAGGCTCTTTCTAACTCCTTCCACCTACTTCTTCAGCCTTTTGTTGATCCTTTGAGATGTGTCGCTGCCATAAAATTCAAAATAACCCATTTTTCCTCCATTGGAGAATTCCTTACTTTCAGCATTTGACGACGTTTTCAAAACCCCGGGTTCCGTTTTTCTTCACATTTGCACAACGTCCCAAGTTTTCCAGAATTTGGGTTGTAACAATGGTGGATTCTTTAGCAGGTTTTTAAGGTCCAAGCGATGAAAGAGTGAGAATGAGAGGCTTTCGACTTCTGGATCCCAGTTTGGGAGGAAATCCTGGAAGTGTAAGGTAGAACAATCGAAAGAGAAACCCTGATCCGATACAAACGGTGGAACGGAGACCCTGTTTGACTGCAGAGGACACACGTGACGGACGGCTCCATCAGCCTTCACGCTCTACAGCTGAAGGGGAGACGGGCGATCCAGACTACAATCGTAGGTTTGTAACTAGCATTTCTGTCTTTGTGCTGTCGGTAATAAAACCCATGATATTCATGCAGTATTAACATAACATTTAATTGATTTCTCTAAAACATAAATAAATTGATTTGCAAGTTCTTGATGAGCTCTGGCAGTGGATGTGTAATCTTTACATTGTACCGGGATGTAAACATGGTTTTGTTAGCTTGACAGGCAAAGACCCAAACCCGCACTTCAGCTCCATTTGTTCACCAACATCTCTCTGTCCTCGGTCTGCAGCTTCTCGGTGCCTTCAGTGGATGTACACGTCCTTCCCCCAGTCGTCCTGGTTCTTGTTACGGCCCATGTTGGACCCTGTGTCCACAGGGTCCTGGCAGTAACGCTCCCTCAGCTTGGCCCGTCCGTGCGGCTGCGTCTGGCTCGGCATGGAGGGGTGGTTCAGGTTTTCCTGATCCGGCTCAGCGCCCTCGTCCTCCCAGGAGGCTTGTCGGCCGTGATGCTGCGCCTGGTGGAGGCGGCTGCCTCCGCCCCCTCGGTACGGCTCGGGCTCTTCGTACGGGTCGGTCTCGATGTCCATGCAGGAGTCCCCGGCCTCGGTGTAGGCCGAGTCCCGGCTGCCCTGGGTCTCCGAGTCGAAGGTGTCCTGCCGAGACAGGCCTCTCCCGCTGCCGCCTCGCAGCTGACCGCGGGACGAGCGCAGGTACGTCTGCTGCTGGTGCTGCTGCTGAGGCTTTCCGCCCAGGTCGGTCTGATAGTCGTGCAGGGCGCTGCTCCCGCCGCACTCAGTCAGAACCCCGTCCCGCTTCTGCTCACCGTGCACCAGGTACGGACCCTGCAGCCAGCCACACCCACGCCACACACAAACCATGCAAAGAGCAGAGCAAACCGTCAGCAGTTAGCAGCGCCAACAAATCAAAACACACTGAAGGTTAAAGGCGGCGGGCGACGTGCATCACTTAAATTGATGCACGTCGCCCGCTGAGTCACCAAGATCATTTTAAGGAGCAGAGTTAGAGACATTTTAGTTGGACTTTGTAAATGGACAGTCTCATGCAGTATTTTGAGGTCTTGTGAGACGTGTTAGCGCTCGGAGTACGTGCTGCGATCGACTCTCAGCTGCGACCACTCCAAATGTTAGCTCAGTATCTTCACAACGGACTAAATTGTAGCCGTTTGTGTCTTGGCTTGGATTAAGTTGAAGATGTTCGTCCAATGATTGCATTCTGAGAATTTTATTAAAATATGTCCAGTGGTTCTTGAGATATTTCGCTAACAGGTGGACAAATGAACACCAAACGAGCAGCTAAAATGACCAGTGTTATTTAAAAATCTTGCAACACAAACACAAGCACGTGAGATAACCTTACTAATGTTTCCAGACTAATTATTGTAAACTTGAAGACAAACGTCTACCACTACAACAGCGCCATCTGCTGGCTGGGAGAGCTCAAAGCAAATAATTATTTTGATTGCTCTCATCAATCATCGCTGTCTTTTTGCTTTATTCTGGTTAATATAAATAAAATAATTCAAAATATATGGCCTTAATCTTCTATTTTTAAACATTTGTGTTGCTCTAAAGCATGTGGTAGACATCCACGATGCACTGTCTCTGCTTCAGAGCCGCTCTCTCACCGCCACCAATTTAATTAGCAGCTCGTTAGCGTTAACGAGGAACCAGCAGCCGTTAGGACGAAGCAACAAACTTGGTTAGTCTTTGTTACCCGGCTGGTGGATCAATACGTGCGAACGCAGCGCTTGAGAAGGCAAACCGAAATGAACGCTGCTCTCTGAAGAGGCGGATGTGACTTGCTGTTTTCAGGGGCGGTACCATGGCAACTGGGTCCTCCGCTCAGAGGAGAAATGAGGCGGCGGAGGTGTGGAGAGGAGGGTCGGGGGCAGCAGATATTATTTTACTCATGACTGCGGTGAAACGGACGGGGCCTCAGGGGGGCGGAGTCCGGTGAGTCGTGTTGCTCTCACGGCGTTGAAGACTCGTTTTACTCGTTGGCGTTTCTCGAACCGGCTGAGAAATCTGCTCCTTTTTAGCACGTTTTGTTTGTTGGCTCCCGAAGAGGCGTTTCTAATCTTCAAACAGCATAAACAGGATTTATTTTTATTGCACTCTTGCTTTTAAAAGCCCAGAAGACTTGGGTTTGGTGTCAAGTTGCCGGAGTGTGCTGACCCCCCCCACCCCCCCCACCCCCGATTGGCCCATGGGGACTTCAGACAGCGTGCTCCTCCTCTCTTCCCTCACCGGCTGCGGCACCGTCCATGTCAGGCCACAGATCCATGTTCCTGCGCAGAGAGGTGAGCACCTGTACCTGCAGGTTGGAGACGGGCTCGGGGGAGGCGGCCAGGGCTGCCGTGGCCATGGTGCGGTTCAGCAAAGGGTTGGGGGGGTTGCTGCTCGGCGGGTGCGTTGCCTTCCAGTAGGCCTCCAGGTAGTCAGCCAGGTGTTCACACGCGTCCTCCAGCTGGTTCTCATCCAGGATGATGTCAAACAGTTCCTGCGCCGCAGAAAAACAAAAAAAACAGGTTCGTGGGTTCAGGTCAGACCTCGCGGTTCTTCTCTGACCCACAGAACCGTGAAGCAGAACCTACAGGGGGACACTGGGCCAGCTTGTCCGCTGCAACCATCTGCACGTTTAGATGCTTCGCCTGGGACTTCCCTCTGGATTTAATGAGCCTCTGGAGAACCTGCAACACAAAACAGAGAAACGATCATGAAAATAAAAGTTTACTTGAAGGAATCGGCCGCCATCTTTCACGCCAGAGATTTAAACTCAACTATTAAACTTTATTTCTGCTGTTCCCTCCTCAGCGAGTCCTCCTCCTCCATCTCACTCCAACCACCTCCATGTCCTCTCTAACTGCATCCACGTATCTCCTCTTTGTCTTTTTCCTGGCAGCTGCTTTTCTAACATCCTTCTACCAGTATACCCACTGTCCCTCCTCTGGACGTGTCCAAACCATCTCAGTGTGTCCTCTCTGACTTTATCTCCCAGTTGTTCAACCTGCGCTGCACCTCTCATGATCTCATTCCTAATCTTATCATATCTCATGCGTCCCCATGCAAATTATAGCTAAGCGTGTTAGCATTCAGCGTTTGTTTTGAGGACTCTCAGCTAAAACTGCACCAAAATGGAGCTCATCTGCAAAACTGACCGAGTTAGAAACATTTTTGTGCTCGCTAAGGTCAATTAGCTAACTGTGGCGGCCATCTTGAATCGGGTTGACGTCAATCGTTAATGAGCCGTAGACGTGCATTGAAAAATTACTTTCTGAGCGTTTCATTAAAACCTGCCCACTGGTTCATGAGCTATTTTGCTAACAGATGGCCACAGTTGACCATAGCAGTTCCAAAAAAAAGTTAAGTCAGTTCCTCTGGATGGATTCTTCTTGGTTGAAACGTTTCATCTTTCATCCGAAAGACTTCTTCAGTCTGAGGCCGTGCCACCAACTCAGTCCTATAAATAGCACCTTCTCAACGTGAATCAACCAGTTAGCTGGAGACATCCAGAACTGGCTGTTCACATGGAGGACCATCAGTCTAACGACAGATCTGCTTGCTATTCACAGAACCAGCACAAGGCAAACCTGTCCAAGGATGACCTGACTAATCTTTTACGGATTTGTTTACGTGGATGATTGAGCACGTATCAGGAGACCCTAACCGTTATTAATGATTATTTTTAGAAACTGTTTTCAGCTCATACGTGCCAAAGTTCAGCTGACGGAAAGATGTTTTTGTGTTGGCTAAGGTTGATGAGCTGTGGCGGCCATCTTGAACTGTTTCAACTCCAATAATTAACTCGTCTCGGTCGTACGCTGAATTTGAATTTCTTTAAAAACCTGTCCACTGGTTTATTAGATATTTTACTAACAAACACAAGCAAGCAAATAACATTACCGCCTGCCTGTCAGGCATAATTCTGTAAAAGCACGGATAATGATTGGTATCCGATCAGTTGCTGTCGTACCTTAGGCGAGGCTATTTTGATGTAGACAATGATGGGGGCCAGGGAGGTCTTGGCCAGCTGGGAGGGGTGGTTGATGGTGTCTGCGTCCAACGCGACGAGCTGGAGGGTGCGGGCCAGCTCGAAGATGCGCTCGATCTCACTCTGCACCTCAGCTGGACGCCCAGGGAGCAAACAGGAACACGTCAGCACATGAATCTGTTCAACGAGCCTGTGTGCGTGTTAGTAATCACTCGTGCATGCTGAAGATTTCTCAAACCATAACAATAAAAATAAAAAACCAACAACACTCACACACACTTCTCAGCACATGGATCGAACCGGACCACAGTTCAAGTTCCATTTATGCACAGCTAAATGGAACAGCGCAGCATCCTCATTCAGCTGCCACCTCCACACGTTTAGGATTTATTTATTGTTCTCATGTCATTTAATTAAAAGTTGTGATGAAAGGAGGCGCTCAGAAATGAGTTGCCTGTGGTGCTTAGCTTACAATAAGGCCACAATTTATCACTAAAACTGAAACAAAAGCAAAAGAACCGCCAAACATTAGTTTCTGTTAGCACCAGAGACACAGCGGTGGTTACCAGGTGAGCCATTCCAACCTGTCGGCGGTTGTTCGGTTTTCATTGTTCCTCAACAACAGCCCTTAAGAACGCAGCATCTGGACCACGGTTCTGCCGTTAATCTGCCCGGTGGAGGAGGGGGATTAAGGCTGAGAACCAGGGCGCTCCCGGCCCGACCGCTCAAAGCTCGAGGAGCGTGTGCCGCCGAGCCAGTGGCAGAGGGAGATAACGGCGCGATCGGCGGGGAGACGCCGCTCGCGCACGGTTCAGCAGCCTTCAAAAGGCCGAGGGAGGAGGAATTAAAGCTCGGGGCCAAACGGCGCCTCAGCGTTTCGATAAGGAACGTGAACTTTAGCTTGTCTTAGGAAAGAGCAGGTAAAGCGTCCACTAACTCTCAACAAAAAGGTTTAAAAAGACGACGGCTGAGGCGAACTTACCCTTCAAATATGATCAAATTAACTTGAAGTAAAACTCAGCTTTTAAAAAAAGATGTCCGTTTTATTTTTTTTCTGGGTCACATCGCAGGAGTCGGAATGTGACGGAGAACTACAACCACCTTTGTGGAAAATGTAAATAAAAGCAGAAGGCAGTCATTTCCAAATCTCGTAAACCCAAACTTTATTCACAGTGGAACACAGGAAACATATAAAATGAGTAATTTAAGTAATTTTGGATCTGACGGCAGCAACACATCTCAGAACGTTCCAGGGGCGCCTAAAGGCTGTGAAAGTAGGCCTGTCACGATAAACAATAAATCAATTAATCGCATGATGAA